AAGATTTGTAAAAGCTGAAAGAATTGTAATTGAATGAAGTATATCTTGGTAAATTTAAATTACACAAAGTATCACTAAATGAAGCAAAAATTAAGTTGAAAGTAGGAAAACAGAATTTTAGCATCGTGTTGACAATGCACCAGAATCCTGAGCATTCAGAAAGATCATCGTATAGTGTTGACGTGACTTAGTCATTGTATATTAAATCACGCAAATATAAAATCTATAAAACTAGAAAATACGAATTTTCAGATATTTAGAAGTATTTATAAATAAATATATCAATTAAAATTCAATAAAAATTCCAAAAATAGTAGTAATTTTCCAGGTCGATCACAGGGATGTAATATAATATTTGGTAATTATTCAGAATTTTTCTCAATGAATAAAATTTTCTTACGAATTTTATACTAGGAAATAAAAAGGAAATATATTTAAAATTCACGAAAAAAAAGGAAATAAGGGTGCGGACGTCAGGATGACATCAGCGCCTAGCGAACGCAAATCAGGTAGAAATAGAGTTCCGCCCGGCGATTCTTACGTAGGCGATTACAGACGACTCAATTAATCAAATTAAGATCTGTAAAAGCCGGAAGAATCGTAATTGAACGAAGTATAGTTTGGTAAATTAAAATCAACAAAGTATCAATAAATGAAGCGTCAATTAAATTGAAAGCAGGAAAATAGAGTTATGGCGTTGCGACGGCAATGCGTCAGTGATGTACTGAAATCCTGAGCGTTTGGGAGGATCATCGTGCAGTGTCCACGGCCTCGAAGGCTCTCCTTGGACAAAGACGATGTGGGCAATCTCTAGATCTTCTCGCGAAGTCTAGAGATCAATGAAGTGGGTCGTCGAATCGTCACCGGCGGCTGTCACCCGGCAGAGCGGAAAAACGACGACTTTGCGACTCTCTGGCGGCTATCACCCAACGAAGAGGAGCTGGATGGAGGTGGGGCGCGTGTCAGGGAGCTTCATCCTCAGGTCCGCGCAGCAAGAGGAGGCTCTTCATCGCATCTGGTACGCTCTCAGGAGGTGGAGACTGGTCTCCCAACGGATCGTCCTCTTCTTGACGACAGCTTATTCGTCGATCAATCGGAGATGATTTTCTCGATGGATTCACGATCCTTTTATCGCGAATCGTTCAGCAATTTTAGTAGCAATGCTCCGCGAATCGCATTGACAAGATTTTTGCCGATGATCCAGTGATTCTTGTTGCTTAATCCTTCACCGGCGATCTGCAAGAAAGTCACGATAATCAAATAAAAATATATGAATTTTGACTCTAGAAGGATTCGAACCCACGCCGGTCGCCCGCCTCTTCTGAGGGAGGTGTGACGGGGTTTAGTCCCACATCGGTTGTACGTCGATTTTTCAGGCAAATATATAGTAATGTTAGCTTTCCAAGCAAAGTCCCTTCTCTCATGTGTACGACCACTCCTTGCCCCACAGCCGGCTGGCCACCGGTGATGTGGAAGGGGAGTGGCATACACGTGCCCTGTCGGTCCCCAAGTCAAGCCGCTCGAGCCCCTGCTCGCGGCTTACTCCCCGACTGCGCTTCCGACCCGCTTGCGGGCACGGCTGGCCGACGGGTCCCCCCATTTTTGCAATATTTTTATTTTTATTTCTTGTTCTTCATTTATCTCAAAAGTAAGACGGTAAAAATCGTATAAAATTACATAATTACCCAAAAATTCACGTTAATCAATTGAAAACTAAAAATCATTCTTTAACACAAATATAAGTCTATTTATCATGAGTTAAGGCTAAAACTATATTATTTACTAATTATTAACTCATGATAATGAAGACTTATCAAGTGTCTACGGCCACAAAGGCTCTCCTTGGACAAAGACAATGTGGGCAATCTCTAGATCTCCTTGCAAAGTCTAGAGATCAATGAAATGGGTCATCGAATCATCTCCAGTGGCTATCACCTAGTGGAGTGGAAAAACGGCAACTTTGCGACTTTCTAGCAGCTGTCACCCAACGGAGAGGAACTAGATGAAGGTGGGGTGCATGTCAAGGAGCTTCATCCTCAAGTCTACATAGCAAGAGGCTCTTCATCGCATCCGATACACTCTCAGAAGTTGGCAACTTATCTCCCAGTAGATCGTCCTCTTTCTGACGATGACTTGTTCATCGATCAATCGAAGATGCTTTACTCGATGAATTTGCTATCCTTTTATCACGAATCGTTTAGTAATTTTAGTAAAATGCTCCGCAAATCACATTGACAAGATTTCTGCCAATGATCCAATGATTCTAGTGACTTAATCCTTCACTGGCAATCTACAGGAAAGTCACAATAATTAGATAAAAAAATATGAGTTTTGGCTCTAGTAGGATTCGAATCCGTGCCAGTTGCCTGCCTACATAAGAGAGATTGACATAAGTATTATAATGCCCTTATCAAATGACATCATCATGATATATCGGTGTTATAAATAAGGGGTATTGTAGATATTAAAATCATCAAACCCTTTCTAGAGAAGGTGTGACACGTGAGTTTAGCCTCACATTGCTTGTGTGTTGATGTTTCAAGTGAATATATAGTAATATTATATTTTCAATCAAGTCCACTTCTCCTGTGTGTACGACCACTCCTTGCTCCACAGCCAACTGGCCACTAGTGATGTGGAAGGGAAGTGGCACACACGTTCCACTTTCGGTCCTAGTTGCTCGAGCCCCTGCTCGCGGCTCCTCCCTAGTGACTTCTCCTGACTACACTTCTAACCCATTTGTAAGCTCGGCTAGCTGGTGAGTCCCTCCAAATTTACTACATGTTTATTTTTATTTCTTTTTCTTCATTTATCTCAAAAGTAAAACTATAAAAATCATATAAATTCATATAAAATCACATAATTACCCAAAAATTTACATTTATCAACTGAAAACTACTTTTCACACTTTAACATAAATATAAGTCTATTTATCATGAGTTAAGACTAAAAATATATTATTTACTAATTATTAACTCATAATAATGAAGACTTATCATTCGGTACGACCGTTGACGAGCACCAGGCTGTGGTAGAGATGAGATGCATAGGTTGTTCTCGATATGGCACAAAGCCCATTCTCGGCACATGCGGCAAGTTGCAGCACAGGTGGGTGAGGCAAGGCGAGTACACGGCTACAGGGGGCAGGGGCCGCACAAGGGGCAGCAGTGGAAGGGGTCGAGCGTGGCCCACGTGTGCATCGCGCCACTAGTCATCGGCCAAGATAGACATCAATGACCTGATGTCGGATAGAGGTGCACTTAACTTGTTTTTTTCAGGACCTCCCAAGTATATCAGAAATGGGCTGGAGGCAACAAAACATCAGCGACCTGACCAAACAGAATTACTGCAGTGCAAGTCCAATGGTCTACCCACCAACAACTAACCTCTGGTGTCCAAAAAAAAAGAAGAAGAAGAAAGGAGCAGTGTAGGAAAGTCTAGGGAAATGGAGTGAAACACCAAAAGTTGATAAGTTTGTGATCCTCCCCTACCAAAAAAACAAAAAACATGGTATGGAAGGAGGAAAAGGGGTAAATCCGTGAGGAAAAGGATACCCATTTCACCTAGACCCTCACCTAACTAGAAACAAAAAGAAAAAATTGGACACCATATAGTTTTGGCCAAAAGGGGGGAGGACTTGTGGGATCAAGCACAGCGGTAACAACCGTATGGCAGGGACCTCTATGTGACTCCCAAGGCCCATGAAGGTAGAACAAGAGAGACTGGTGAAATGGGAAAAAGAATTCTCTAGAAAAGCTCAAATTTGTTGCCAACAAAAGAGGCCAACACTACTAATCATGTAGCATTCTCAAGGAAATGGGCCTCCAGCCCCCCACCCCCCACCCCCCCCATGTACTCTAATGGAAAAGAGCATTAGTCCTATATATCAGCTATGTTCATCTATGGAAGATTTTCTTTAGAAAAAAAAAACCTTAAACCCATGCATGTAACACTAGGAAGACAAGTTCATATTTGGGCTTATTGCCAATGCTCTAGTATAGTTCCATCCTCCTCACTACCCCACTAACTCTTTCCTCACCACTTCACATCATTATATCTATTTCTTAGAACCATTTACTTGTAGGAACACCTCATGGCGCACAACATGGAGGTTATACTTCCCACTACTATTGCACGGATCTTTCAATGTCATGGACTGAATGACTCCACCAGCCCAATCCAAATCTTCCACCTTCATCAAACATTTTGACTAGAATAGAGTCTCTCTCCACTATCATCACATCCTCCCTTCAAAGGAGGTTTATAGTCCTCTCTCTCCTCCTTGTTATCTGTGCATACGAGATCCCACTCATGTAACCTCAAACTGAGGTGACACTTCTAGCATTAAATGAACCTTTTCTTTCTTCAAAAAAACAAAAACCCAAAACCCTAAATCCTAAATCCTAAACCCTAAACCCAAAAAGGCCAATGGAGGTAACACTATTTTAAAATTAGATATGGCTAAAACATACAACAGAATTGAATGGCAATTATCATGGAAGTTTTAGATAAATTTAGATTCAGCCAAAGATGGATAAAATGGATAAAAGCTTGCATAGAAAACAACCAATTCTTCATACTGATCGATGGTAAAGCCTCACCATTTTTCACAACTATCAAAGGATTAAGACAAGGGGATCCTCTCTCCCCTACTCTATTCATAATTGTTGAATAGGTAATGAGTAGAGGTTTAATAGAATTATTTCATAAGGGTAGAATAAAATAGTATGTGATGATGAGAAACTGCCCACTGATTTCACATGCTTTATTTGCAGATGATGCGATAATTTTCACTAATAGTAAAAGTATGTCCATAAAGAGAGTGACGTAATTCCTAACTAGATATGAAGAAATCTTAGGACAAAGAATTAACAAAGCCAAATCTACATTCTTCCTATGCCAAAACAGCCCTAAGAAGAGACACAAACGAATAAAGAAATTAATTGGTTTCAAAAAAGGAAACATGCCATTCACTTACCTTGGATGTCCCATCTACAAAG